CCCCCCCCCGTCCCCATGGAGTGAGAGCACACGGGGGTCTCTGCAGCGGCGCAGCCCCCGCCCCGCCGGGGGGAAAGCTGGAAGGCACCGCAAATATGAGCGACTTCTGGCACAAGCTGGGCTGCTGCGTCGTGGAGAAACCACAGCCTGTGAGTAGCTGCGGCGCTTTGGGGGGGGCAGGATGGTGCTGGGGGGTCCTGGGCCATGACGGCCTTCATCCCCACGCAGAAGAAGAGGAGGAGACGGATCGACCGCTCCATGATCGGCGAGCCCATGAACTTCGTGCACCTGACGCACATCGGCTCCGGAGACATGGCTGCGGGCGAGGGGCTGCCCATGGTACGGCTGGGGGCTGGGGGCTCCGCGCGGCTGCCGCGATCCCACCCTGCGCAGCGGCTCCTTCCGCGTGCTGCCCTTCCGGGGGGCTGCAGCCCTCGGGCGGCGCGGCGGCGTTTCCTCCTCGGTGCCGGGCGCCCCGGGTTGGTGAAGCCGTCGCCGCGGTGGTGAAACGTTTCTCCTCTCCCTGCAGACGGGCGCAGTGCAGGAGATGAGGTCCAAAGGCGGACGGGAGCGGCAGTGGAGCAGCTCCCGCGTGTTGTAGCATCGTGAGTACAAAGCCGGGCAGGAGCGGGGAGCCCCGAGCGCCCGCTGTCACCGTCCGAGGCGCGCTGCTAATTAAGGCATCTAACGAGCCGCCGCTCGGGCAGTTTTGTAACCTGCCGTCTCTCCAACTTCGCAGGTTCTTGGCTCTTTCAGCCCGAACTTGAACTGCCTGATCCCCACACCGGAGGAAAAGCCAACCTGGAGCGCTCGATTCCCGCGGTAACTCGTGCAGGCGGAGCCCCACGGCCGTCCCAGCAGCTCTGGGTCACCCCCCGCAGGTCCCCCCTTCCGCCGATGAAGGGGGCAGCAGAGCAGCGCAGCCCGACCGGGAGACGCCGCGCACGGCCACGATGTGCCAAATCCTCCGCCTTCTCCCTTTCCCCACACTCCAGCCGGCACTGCTGTCTCCCACGGGCCCCTCCCGGCGCTGCCCCCCACGCCTCGGTTTCCCCGTCGGACGGCAGCGGGGCGGGCTGCGCTGCAGGGGCCGAGCGGGGGAGGCGCTGCGGAGCCTCGGAGCCCCGGCATCGGGCGCCCCGCAGCTCCAGCGCTGCCACCGAGCCGCACTTCCTCCAGCCTTCAGCCGGCATCGCCGCCAGCGAGCCTCCGCCTTCCTTCTTTTGTAGGAGATTTTTTGGTTTTTTTAAAGCTCCAAATCCCCCACTTGGCCTCTCCCGCTACCGCCAGGCTTTCACCGGCACCGGCTGCTCCCCCAGGAAGGAGGGACTCTCAGGTTCCCAATTCAGGCGCACGTGTACATAGTTCAAATCGCGCCGGGGCTGAACAGGAACGAGATGAACGAGAGGCCGGAGCCACGCGGGCAGCCGAGCTCCCCTTCCCTCCCCTGTGCTGCCGGGCTGCTCAGCCCCACGGTGAGCACGGATGCTTGAGTCAGTTTTTATCCCCCTGGAAAACCCACTGGAAAAACAACAAAACCCCACCTTTGAAATAAAATCTTGTGCTAGGCAGAGATGGGGCCCGCGGGCGGCCCAGGCTGCTCAGTGTGGGGGGACGGGGGGGTGGATGTGGGGGTTCGGCTCCGTCACACCCCCAACCCAGCCCAGGAGGCGGGGCGCCCGCGGGGCCGTGCAGCACAACCTGCGGGGTTGTGGGGCAGCACTGGGGATTAATGAGGAAAAGCCGACAGCCAGCAGTGGGGGGGAAGAGGCAAATTTAGTACTGAACTGGCAGCTAACGGCCTCCAGGCAGCCGCGTGCCCAGCTGCGGCACTTCAGCCCCCAATGGCCAGGAGGGGAAGAATCCCTTAAGAGCCCCAGTGCCTTCGTGGGCCGTGTGCTGCCCGGCTCCTTGCGGCCCCACAGCACCAACCCCGGTGGGAAGGGGGGGCACTGGGGCAGTCGGCAGTGAGGAGGGGGCTGCGGCAGCCAGCCGGGCTCAGAGGAAGCAGCGGCTCCGTGCTGGGGACGGGACCCCACAGCACCCCAGCGCCACCTCGGCCCCTCACTTGTCGCAGTCGGGGGGCGGCTGCTCGGCGGCCATGCGGCTGACCCGCTCCAGCACAGCCTGGGGGCAGATGGGGGGCACAGCCTGCGCCAGCGGGCTCTCTTCCACCAGGCTGTTCATCGGGGTGGGTGGGGGGGCCACCTCCTCCTCCATCCCTGCTGCGGTGCCCGGCGTCCCCCCCAGAGCGGCTCGCAGGATGGGCAGCACCTTCTTCCTGGAGGCCAGCGTGTTGCCCTGCGCGTAGGCGCTGATGCAGGGCCAGGGGCTGGGCAGGGCCTGCAGCTGCAGCGCCGGGGTTGTGGCCTCCTCCAGCGCACGGCACACCTGGAGGGGACAGAAGGCAGCCTCTTTGTGCAGCTCTGACACCCCCGGCCCTGAACCGGGGGGCTTCTAAGGACGAAACGCCCTGCTCTGCACACCCTCGTGCCGGCTCACCGTGCTGCGCAGGGCCTCGTGCCGGCTGTACACCGCCAGCTGCCGCTTGGGCTCATAGCACTCGTTAAAGGAAACCGTCATGGCCACCAGCACGGAGTAGCCACGAGCCTGGCAGAACGCTTCCAGGTCCTGCAGCAAACCGGGGCGGCGCAGGAAGAGCTGGAGGAGGAGGGCAGAGGTCGGTGTCACACATCACAGCGCCGGGCCTCAGCCCCCTCGCTGAGCCTCACCTCTATGTCCATGTAGATGCCGCTGGTGGCGAGGACTTGTTCATCACCGGAGACGGTCTTGAGGTCCTTCCGCAGCATCTGCTCCGTCGTCAGCCCTGGGAAGAGAGAGGGGCTGAGCGCGAGCACCACAGACACAGCCCAGCGCCCGGCACGGCGCCGCCGAGCCCCCAGCACCAGACCTGAGACGTTGAACTTGGCTGCCTGCAGGGCTCCGTAGATGCTGTCGTGGGGCGGCAGCTCCGGGAAGCGCGACTCGAGCAGGGAGACGCAGCGCACGTCGCGGGGCGTCACTTTGCCGGCCGCGGGGCTCAGGTTCACGCTGTCCAGCAGGATGGTGCCTGCGGGGAGCGGGGCTGTCGGCACACGGGAGCAGAGCCCCACGCCGGGGGAGCAGAGCCCGACCGGCAGCCTCACCGTGCAGCAGCGCCGCCGTGGTCCGGTCCAGCACACCCGGGGGGCCCTGGGCGATCCGTTCCGTCACCAGCGTGGCGCAGGAGCCCACGAGCTCCACCGTGAGCTGGCAGCTGGGTGCCCACTCCCGCTCCAACGGCCGGTGGTCCAGCACGTCCACCACGGCCTCCTCCAGGGCTGCGTCGGCGCTGGCGGGTGAGATGGGGACGGTGAGAGCCCTGGCACAGCCCCGGCGCGCCCCTGCCATGCACCACTGTCAGCAGAGACCCCTCTGCTCCTCTCCTCCCGCCTTAAAAATACCCCGGAAGGGCAAAGGTTTTACCCACCCTGGGCTAAAATCTGACCGCTTCACGACGGGGAGGAAGAAGCGGCGCAGCCCATCCCGGTGCTCACCTGGGCAGGACGTGGTGATCCACCAAGGTCAGTGAGAGCAGCCCGGCGCTGTGCAGCCCCGCCAGGTCGATCTCATCGCGGAAGATGAGCGAGGAGTCCGCAATGCTGTGCTCCCGCAGCAGGAACGTCGTCTCCGTGCGGAGGGCGAAGTCGGCGCGTGGGATGTTCAGCACCGGGATGAAGGCGGCTCTGGGTGGCACGGAGGTCTGCATGGGGGGATCAGCACCCGGCGCGGCGTCCCCTCAGCCCCTCGGTTGCCCAGCAGCACGCAGGCAGCCTCACCTTTGCCAGGAAATAGGCCAGCGCCAGGGCAGACACGGTGGAGTCCAGGTCGCAGGCCTCGTTGCCCATCACCACGTGCACCTCCTGGCGACGCTGGATGTGCTCCTGCCAACGAGTGAGACGTCAGCCCCGTTGGGACGCATCTGCCCCCAAAAGCCCCCGAAGGACACAGCTGGGGGCGCGCGGAGCCATTTGTGGCCTCACACAGCAGCACCCCAGGAGCAGCTCGCAGGGAACGGGCAAAACCAAGTGGGAAACCCAGGCAGGGCTGCTCTGCGGCTTGAAAGCCTCACATTAACAGCACACGAGTGAGAAACTGGGAGAGGAAAAACCCAAGCAGGTCACACAGCACTGCAGCAGTGGAAATTGAGATCCTCCCCCACCCAGGGATGCGGCACCCGTGGGAGATGGAGGACCCACTGTGGACTCTTATTAGTTTAACCTCAGACCAAAGTGAGTTTTCTGGAGGTGGTGAAAAGCAAGCGGAACTTTCAGCCCTAGCTGCTGCCCCAATTCACCCAGCTAGCAGACACTGTCAGTGTGGGGCTCTGACCCCCAAAATGCCCCTTTCAGCCCAGGCAGCAGCAGGAACCCCACTGTCACCCCACAGATCCTCTGCCCCAAATCCCTCCCCTCAGCACAGCACACAACGCTGCAGGGTGACGCCCTGCCTGCAGACTTTTCCCCAGTGACAAATACTTCACAGCATAACCCAGATTCCCTTATGTATTCCACCAAAGAAGTAAACAGCAGCGGGCCGAGCCCAGCGCCTGTGCCATTCACTGCAGGTCCCCCACCTCCTGCCAAAAGCCCCAAAGAAGGGGAGGACGTGGGGAGGGGGTCCCCCCAGCCACCCGTGTGTTGTGGCTCCAGGGCCGGGGTGGAGGAGCTCCACGGAGGGGTGCAGGCGTGCAGGGCACAGCGCTGTCACCTCCAGCCCTGGGGTGGGGGGGAATATGGGCTCCTGCAGAGGTAATGGGGGCCGCACCCCACCATTTGCGTGCTGTTCGTCCCCCTGCACCCCACACAGCGCAGTCTGTGGGATTTGCTCGCCCCCGTCCCCACGAGTCCCACTTTCCACACCCTCCGCATCCCTGCGGTGTTCCCGTGTCCCCAAACCCAAACCCTCTCTACGCCCACCCCCACGTATCCCCTTCTACCCGCTGTCCCGCAACCCCCCGCGTCTCCCAACCCCGCAGCTCCCTCCCGGCCATACCTGCAGGGCCGCCCGCCGCCCCTCCAAGAACCGCTCCATGACGGCGGCGACCACCGCCCGGCCCAGGCCCCCAATCCGCGCCACGGCCCGGCACGGCCTTGAGGGCGGGGCGTCGGCACCGCGCGGGCTGCCGGGAGAGGCGGAGCGGCCCCGGGCACGGGGGACACCCGGAGCTCCGCAGGCCGGCTGCTGGGAGGGTTGGGCCCAGGCCCGAGGTGTAGGCCGCAGGCGCTACCCGTAGGCCGCAGGCGTAGGCCCGGCCCATAGGCCTCAGGTTAGGCCGCAGGCGCTGCCCGTGTAGACCGCAGGTGTAGGCCCGGCCCGTAGGCCGCTCTCCGCCGGCCTTCCCCCGCCTTAAGGCGAACCGGCGGCCGGGGGAGGGCGGCTCCGGGCCCGGCCCCGCCGTGTGGTTGTTTATCTGCCGCTTTCTCCTCCCCCCGCCCTTCCTCCTCCGCCCTAAGTCCGCCCTCCCGGCGTAGGCCTGGCGGCGTGCGGGCCGCGCCTCTGCGCTGAAGGGAAGGAGGAGGAAAAAGGGGGAAAAAGGAGGAAAAACGGCGGCGACGGCGGCAGCGCAGCGAGGTGAGGGCGGGGGGAGCCGGGGGGCGCGGGTGGCACAGCGGGCGGTTCTGTGTGCTGGGAGGAATCCCGGCAGCTGCCGGGGGTTCAAACGGCGATGCGAAATATCGGCGGACGCAATTAATGACAGCAGTAATTAGGGATGGTTCGCGATGGGGGGAGCAGCGAGCATCGCCCCGCCCTTCAGCGCTGAGCTCCAAACGCGGCGCGTTGCGGGGGTCGGGATCCGAACTCGGAACGTGGCGCTTCCATCCCGCTCCTCCCCGCCCGCCGTTCGCGGCCCGCCGCCGAAGACGCGTCCGCATTTCCCGACAGCCCTGCCTGCTGCTTCCCGTGTGGCACGGCCGGATTTTGGGGGGAAGGCGAGCGCCGCGCCCCCAGCCCACGCCCGGCTCCTCCGGGAGGCGTTGTGAAGCCGGGAGGCTCCTCGGCTCCTTTTATCCGCGCTCGGAGAGCCCTTCCTCCCCCCACGCTGTGCCCGCGGTGGGCAGGCAGAGCTCCTTGCGCGGCCGGGCTGCTGGCTGCGCCCCTTCCCCACCGGCAAATCTCGGGCGCTGCTCTGTGCAGGAAATCCTAAAAGATTTGGAAATCCTGAAGGATTTCCTGTTTGAAAGCCGGCCCAACCAGCGGGTCCGGTCTGGGGCTTCCTGCTGGCGCCTGTTTGCAGCAGCTTTGGAAAAGCACCGGTGAGAGGAGCTCGAGCCGTGGAGCCCACGACCAGGTGAGGCGGCGCTGCAGGCTTTCAGACCTGTTTGTCCTGCTGCCCTGAGCTCCCTGCGGGGCCGTCCCAGCCGGGGCTGCACTGTGGGCTCACCGGGGAGTGCGGGCGTCGCATTTCCCAGCAGGGAGGTTTGTTCCTCTGCAGCGCCAGCAGCGCGCTTTTATTCTCACCTCCCCGCCGTGGCTGCAGGACGCCGTGGTTCTGCGCAGAAAGGAGCGGGGCAGCAGCGCAGGACGACTTCATGGCCTCCGTCCAGCGGAGCGCTTCAGCGCTGCTTCGCTTTGGGCTCCTTTGAGAGCGCTCTGCTGCTGCTTGGCTGTCTGAGTGCTTTGCTTCCCTGGCTCCAGGCCTGAATTCCTCTTTGTTTTCGTGCTGTGGGATGAGCAATTCACAGCGTTGTTTTTCTGCTTCCTACCTCTGAAGCGTAACGCTGGGCTGCGGTTCCCATCCCGGCAGTGGGGAATGGCGAGCTTTACCTTGGCAGCTCTGAGCTTTCAGTTTGCCTTTGAGCACTGCGCACCCATTTGCTTCCCTTGTGGGTCTTCCTTTCCAAGAGCGCTGCACTCCTTGGGCTCCTGGGGGGCAAAGGGGACGGGCTCATTATAAAGCTGCCGGGTCGCGGTGACTTTATTGCCATAACGCCCAGGGAAGGCGGGGTCTGACTGCGCTGCTTCGGTCCAAACCCGGCGAAGCCGCCCTCTCCCAGCAGAGCTTTTCCCAGTTCCGCAGCTGGTTTGGTTTAAAGCTGCCAGGACCCTCTGAACCTGCAGAGCCCTTCAGCCCAAGGGTGGGTTTGCGGGGTCGGCGCCTTCGTGGCGTGTGCCGGAGCTCCTGGGCCTCTGCTGGGGGGGGGAAGGGCTGCTGTCAGAGCTGAGCGGTGCCAGGAGGGCGAGCCGGGGACGGGCTGACGTGGGAGGGTGACTCAGAGCCACGCCGAGGGAAGGGCTGCTGGCCGCGGCGTCCTGCTGTCTGCCCGCCCGCTTTGGAAGTGAATTGGGCGCAGTGAGACGGCGCAGGGACGGGGCGGGGAGCGGCTGCTCGGCTTCGCCTGGGAAAGGAGCCCCTTCTGGCAGCGGAGCTCACAGCCGAGCGTTTGGGTTTCGGTGCGTTTTGGAGGATTTTGCCTCATCTTTGGCTGCGTTTTGACTTCGGGATCCCCGGTGGGCGGGGAAGGCGCGGAGCCGGCACCGAAGCGGCGCAACGCTCTCCAAAACCGCCCCGCTTCTTCCCTTGGAAGTTTCCCGTTCAGCGGCACCCGGATGGGAGCAGAGCGCGCAGGGGGTGCCGTGGGGGGATCCCTGACCGCTGCTGCTGTGGGGGGCGGCGGGGCCGTGAGGAAGCCCTGAGCGCTTGCACTGCGCTCTGCGTCCTCCCTGCGCGGGGCGCTGCGCTCCTGAACGGCGGAGCCGCGCGGGGCCGCACGCAGCGCTGCGCTGCCGCTGCTCAGCTGCGCGCATTGCATGCTTGCGATCCCTGCTCGCGCGGCGCCTGGTCCTGGTGAGATGGGAACGCGCTGATCGGTTTAATAAAGGTCGCCGTGCGGGATCCAGTTAGCCATCATTGGTCCCCGTATCCCTTCCGTGTTCTGCAGGAGTGTGACCAAGCACTGAGCTCCTGCAGCTATGGCTTAACGAATCCATCCGGGCTCGCAGCCTTAAGATGCTCCTCATCGTCGGGCCAACGTTCCCCTGTGCCCCAACACCTCGCAGTTTCTCCACATCTCCTCCTTTTGTTATTATTTAAAGGGGCCGTAGGAACTGGGGGCCCAGACAGCGGGATTCCTTTTCCCACGAAGAGCGCAGAGTGCTGCACGTAATCGTGCCTTGCTTGCATAGTAAGCAGCAAGGTATGCAAATGAGAAGACAAAACCACAATTAACAGCACAATGCCATATTTAAGCAGCCTGCAGCCGTCCATTCAGCTTCCGGGGGATTCCACGTCTTGCCCGGTCGCCACAGATCAAAAAGCAGCAACGCGAGTCCCCGTGGTTTCTGTGCCTTTGGCCACGTGCTGAGGTTCTGCGTCCTGCACCATCCGGGGCTGCTGGACCGAGCAGCAGCAATCATTCCATGAAGTAACAACGCGCTGCCAGGCGCCCCCAAGTGTTTTCATCCCGTCCATCATAGGAACCCATCATACAAACGCGCTGCCGTACTGACCTGACAAATGCAATCCTTGTGGTGCAGCCTTGAGATATTCCCGAGATTCTCTATCAAATGCCTGAGTTCCGAGGCTGAATTGTACTTAGGTAGCTCGGCAATGCCAGCCAAACAATTGAATCTCCCCAGCTCCACCGTGGCAGTGGAGATGTTGGCCCAGGCCATTCTGTGCCTTTCCCCATAATACAAGCGGGGCAGTAAAAGATTTTGGCAGCATCGCTCCATCTATAAAAGCATCCTTGGTTGCCCCTTTCCATCTCTGTCCCGGATCAGAGCCGTCCAGGTCGGGTGGAAATAAATCTGGCTCCTGCTCCGGATCCGAGGACTCTTCTTTTCCCTCCTCGACCACCAAATGCTGACCTGGCCAACGCCGCTTTCCTAAATCCTTTCCCTCAGCCTTCAGTTCTCCCCTATTGCACCCTTTCCTTTCTGAAGCCCTTCACCTTTTCCTCCCTTCTTCCCTGCTTCCAAAAACCATGTCAGCAGTGTTCAGCTTCCTCCCCGCACCGATTCCGTGCCACATCCAACACCTCACCACCCTCAGCATCGCGCCGCCCGCCGAGGCTGCCTGTCTCTCCGATGCCGTCCTTCCTGCAGTCACGCTCCTCGCTCTGCAGTCGCGCCGCCCTCCCTTTTCCCCCCGGACCGCGACACCAACACCGACGAGCTGCTCTTCCAGACGGCTCCGCCCAGGCAGCACGGCTTGGGACGCGGCGCGGTGTCGCTGCCGAGTGGTCTGAGAGTCCTTAGGATCGAGATCCTGATCCTCGACAACGGGTCCTTTTGTTCCCGCAGCAAGGCGCGCAGTCACGAAACGTCGCTGACTCCTCATCCAACGAACGGGGGGAGGCAGCGGAGGAGGGATGTGGGATGAGGACAAATCGACACCCATCTTATCCTCTGCTGGGTGCACTGCTGCTGCATCCGGAGGCTCAGGGAGCACCAGGAGGGGACAAGAGCCTCGCTGCTGTGACCCATCGAATCAGGGCAGGCCAGCAGGGGCCTCGCCGCCGTCAGAGCTCCGTGCAGCGCCTCCTCGACAGCAGCATCACCCTTAGCATCAACAGTGCCAACAGCCGCGCTCCTCATTGGTAGCGGGCTCCGAAAGCTCCTCTCTGATCTCCACGGTCGCTCGTCACTCAGGTCAGCAGCTCCCACGGGTCGCCCCCGCGCTGGGCGAAACGGAGCAGCGCGGCCGGCTGCAGCCGCTGGAGAGTAAGCGCGATCCGCGCGGAGAGGAGAGCGAACGGGGAGCGGCTGCGCGCTGCGGGCCGCCAGCCTTTGACCCGCGCTGCCCGCCGGCCGCCCCGAGCCACGTGGAGGCGCCGCTCGGCGCTGCGCTGCTGCCGGCGCTCGGTTGCGCGGATCTCCTGCGCCGTGAGCCCTGCCCGCAGCGCCCGGTCCTGGCGAGATGAGCAGCGCTCATTGGTTTTACGGAGGTCGCCGTATTTGGCCCTCATTGGTCCCCGAATCCCTTCCGTGTTGCGCGAGTGTGACTGAGCGCGGAGCTTCCGCGGAGGCGGCGTAACGGATTCGTTCGGGCTCGCGGCCGTGCGGCCCCTCGTCGTCCGGCCAGCGCTCCCTTGAGCCCCGACGGCTCCCCGCAGCAGGCGGCGCCTGTTTGCATCGATCCACCGCTGCCCTCCCTGCTGCCCCGCCGGGTTGGAAACGACCGCGCCGCCAAAGCGCCCAACTCGGCGCTGGGCAGGGAGGGGAAGGAGGAGGATTAAGGCGTAATGGGATCTGTTGGTGACTCAGCCCGGGTGCGAGACTCAGCAGAGCCGTGCGGCCCCGTGGGGAGAGGCGGCACTGTGGAAAATGGGGACGGGTGGGGAGGGGGAGCGGCCGGAGCTCTGCGTGGAGCCTCGCTGACACCCAGCGCAGCTCGGGGCTGCGGCTCTGGGCTCGGGGAGGCGGCAGAGCTGCGCCGTTGGTGGCGCCGCTCCATCCAACTGGTTTCCTTTCTGGTCTGCAGGACGGGCTGTGGGAGGAACACCAGCATGGGCAGAGCTGCAGGTGGGCAGATCCGAACTGCGCGGAGCGGCCGTGTCGTGTTTGCGTAACTCCAGGCTTTGGCTGCGGTGATCATCCGGCGGGGACAGCGGCGGATAAACGCCTTCAAGGACACCTTCGTCCTCCGCCCCGTGGCTCTGGCTGGGCTGCCAGCAGAATAAGGGTGCGGGTGGAACGCTTCAGCCCTCAGCTCGGCTCTGGCGGCTCTCGCAGCCCTCGCTCCTGGCTGCTGGGGGCACAGGGAGCACAACCTGCTGAGCTGCCGGCGGCCGGGACGCGGATGCAAACACAGAGGCAGAGCTGGGGCAGCGCTGCCTGGCATCCACAGCGAGCGGCCGAGCGGAGCAGGAGGAGCTTGTGAGGACACCCAGCGCTGCCCTCCAGCAGCGCCTGCGGGCCGGCAGCCCCTGGAGGGGCCTTTCAGCTCTGCTGTGCAGTTTGGTGCCTCAGGTCGGCGCTCCTTTGGATTGCTCCCGTTGTTTTGAAGCGACAGGCAGTGCCTGGTGGGGGAGTCGGGCTCCACATGTGCTTTTTTGTGGAGTATCCAGACTTTGCATCCTAAGAAAGCGGAGGTTGGGACCGCAGCAGGGCGGAACTGAGTGCTCTGCTGGGAGCATCCGCCCCATCAGAGGATCCTCGGGACCACACTGCGCTGCTGTCAGATGCTCTGAGCTGCCGGGATGGAGCTGCAGTCTGAGCTGGGGGCGATGCTCAGCACCACGGGGGACGATGCCCAAAGCCCAAAGAGCCCTGAGCCCTGCCAGCCGCCACGGGACGCGGGGGGGTCCGAACAAGAGGGGGAACTTTCGTCTGCCAGCGGGCAGAGCCCGGCACTGCAGGAGGAGGTGCCCCATCCCAGCACCACAGAGGAGCCCGCTGAGCAGCAGGAGAGCGGAAGCCGAGGTGCCCAGGAGGAGCTGCCCACCAGGGAGGGCGATGCACCCCCCCAGGCAGCGGCTGAGCCCCCCAGCGCCCGCTCCCCCAGCCGTGAGCCTGAGCCGGATTTCTACTGTGTGAAGTGGATCACGTGGAAGGGAGAACGGACGCCCATCATCACCCAGAGTGAGAACGGGCCCTGCCCGCTGCTGGCCATCATGAACATCCTCTTCTTGCAGTGGAAGGTGAGCAGCGGGGGGTCATGGGGTCGGACACATTTGCTCCATGGAACCCCGATAGGGACTTCTGGGGGGGGGCGGCTGGGGGCTGTGAGGTGAAATGGTGGGAAGGAAAAGGAGGGCGAAGGCGTCTCAGCCTGCCGCCTCATCCAGCTTGGTCTGTGCTGCCGAGCTGGGGGGCTTACGGCACTGGGGGGCTCTTCTGACCATCCACCCCCATCCAATGTGCTTCCAGGTGAAGCTGCCCCCGCAGAAGGAGGTGGTGACATCGGAAGAGCTGATGGCACATCTGGGTGAGTGGGGGGGGCGCAGTGCTGTCACTCTGGGTTTGGGGGCTGGGTGTGAGGCAGTGGCCCATCTGCCACCCGTTGCTCCATTGCAGTGCTGCCCGTGGGGTCCGTCCTCCTGCCACGCTCCCTGTGCACAGCTTCTGAGGGATATTGCCTCCGGGTGCAGAGGAGGAGGGGGACGTGGGGCCCAGACCCTTTCTTCTGGGGGGCTTTGGTTGGGGAGAGGAGCAACAGACAGGGGAGGGATTCCCAAGGTGGGGCTGAGCTGCGCTGGGCTCCGTGCGCCGCTGGGAGCCCCGCAGTGACCGTTCTGCACTGCATCCAAGGGGACTGCATCCTGTCCATCAAACCCCAGGAGAAGTCGGAGGGGCTGCAGCTGAACTTCCAGCAGGTGGGCAGCGCGGCGGGACGGGGGCCACCCCCCATTTCCCTGCTGTGCACGGCGGGGTGCCTCACGGCTCCCAGCTCTGAGCGCGGCCGTTGCGCGGCGCTGGGCCCTGGGCTCCTCCTGAGCAGGACCTGGTGCCGCTCCCCCCCCCAGAACGTCAATGACACCATGATGGTGCTGCCCAAGCTCTCCACGGGTCTGGATGTGAACGTTCGCTTCACGGGCGTCTCCGACTTCGAGTACACACCAGAGTGCATCGTCTTCGACCTCCTCAACGTCCCGCTGTACCACGGCTGGCTGGTGGACCCGCAGGTGGGCGCCGGGGCTGGGCTCCCTCTGGGGCTCCGCTGGCCCCGAGGGACGCCGCAGTGACGCCGCAGTGGGGCTGAGGGTCGGGGCAGGACGTGGCAGCCGCCCCCCCTCGGTGCGATTTCTCCCATCCTCACCATTTCCTGCACATCGCCCCCCCGTTTCAGAGCCCCGAGGCGGTGCGAGCCGTGGGCAAACTGAGCTACAACCAGCTGGTGGAGAAGATCATCACCTGCAAACACTCTGGCGACCCCAACCTGGTGACTGAAGGTGGGAGCCGTGCTGGGGGGCTCAGGGCCGCCCCGGCCCCGCTCTCACGTCCCCCCCACCCCCAGGGCTGATTGCTGAGCAGTTCCTGGAGTCCACGGCCTCCCAGCTCACGTACCACGGGCTGTGCGAGCTGACGGCCGCCGTGAAGGAGGAGGAGCTGAGCGTCTTCTTCCGCAACAACCACTTCAGCACTATGATAAAGCACAAGGTGCGCTGTGACCCGGTGCTGATCCCTGCCCTGCTGCCCTGCAGGGACAGTCCCTGGGCAGCGCAGCCCGGGCACAGCCCTCCAGGGCTGAACACAGATGCAGGGTGACTTTGTGTGGGGATGGGACCAGGGAGGGAGGTTTAAGCTGAAAGAGGAGAGGTTGGGAAGGGATTCCTCACTCGTGGGGGCAGCGTGGCCCCGTGGATGGAGCAGCACAGCTGAGTCGCCGGGGGCAGCCAGCATGCAGAAGGGGAGGGGGCTGTAAGTCCCCCCCCATGGTTCTGAGTCTCTCCGTCCCCCTCTCCTGTCCACAGGGCCACCTGTACTTGCTGGTGACGGACCAGGGCTTCCTGCAGGAGGAGCGCGTGGTGTGGGAGAGCCTTCACAACGTGGATGGCGACAGCTGCTTCTGTGACACTCAGTTCCACCTCAGCCATGCCCTGGGCAAAGAGGCAGCCGCACCAGAGCAGAGCCAGCTGGACCAGGTGAGGACTCACAAGGGGGCGGGAGCCCCCCCGCGGGGTGGGTGCCCCCCACACCGTGCCCACCGCTCTCTGTGCTTCCCTCCGTGCCCAGGACTACATGATGGCCCTTTCCCTGCAGCAGCAGCAGGGCCAGGGCCCCTCGGTGCTCAGCGACCTGGAGCTGGCACGGCAGCTGCAGCAGGAGGAGTACCAGCAGCAGCAGCAGCAGCAGCAGCGGCCCCCCCCGGCCCCCCCGCAGGTATCAGGGTCCCCTCTTTGTGCTCCTCTGCTCCGTCCTCCCTCCGTCCCCATCCCTGCTGTTTGTCTGTAGGGCCGAGCACAGCAGGGCGGCCGCCCGACGCCAGAGCGGAGGCAGCGGCACAAACAGAACTCGGACTGCACCCTCCTGTAGCCGACCCCCCCCCCGGGCCCCCCGTCCTGCAGGGACCCTCTGCAGATCCTGGGGACGATGTGGTGTGAGATGTGGGGTCTCTCCTTGCACAGTGATGGGACCCGTCCCTGTTTTTCCAGTGGCCTTAACGCGGGGGTGAGGAACCCGTGGGAGCAGGGTTCCCCCCCCCGGTCCCCCCCCACTATGGACCCTCAGGAGTGGGGGGGCCGCGTGGGGGGGAGATGTGTGCCCCCGCCCACAGCATCGCCTTAGCCAATAAAGGACTTTGCCCATTGCAGTGGGTGCTGTTGGGGCTGGAGGGAGGGATGGGGTGGGTGAGGGCTGTGTTGGGGTCAGGGGGGACGGTGGGGGGAGCACAGGAGCAGCTGTAGGGGGGTAGAAGCCCTGGGTACGGACAGAGGAGGGGGTGGGGGTGACATGGGGGATGCAGGGGTGGCTGTAGGAGCTGTTTGGGGGAGAGGTGTTGTGGGGTGCAGAGGTGTCCAAAGAGCTGCGGGGGGAGGAGCGGGGTGTCCACAGGAATGAATAGAGGGGTGCGGGGGGGCCGTGGGACCACAGAGGCTGCGAGAGGGGGCGCGTGGGGGGCTGTAGGGACGTGGGGGTCACGGGGGGGTGAGGCGCTGCGCGGGGTGGGCGGGGTGCCCATAGCGGCGCTGCGAGGAGGGCTGGCGGGGAAGGCGGGGGCCGCGCCCGCACCGCACGGCACCGCACCGCACCCCGTTACGGACCGCCCACAGGGCGCGCGCTCCCGGGGCCACGCGTGACCCCCGCGCTTCCCTCCCGTGAAGCCCCGCCCCTTCCCGGCATCGCCCGCGGCGACGATTCTCTCGGGCCGGCGGCCACGCCCACCCCGCCCCCAGACCACGCCCACTCTCCAGGAAAAAACCGGCACGCGCCAGGCCACGCCCACCTCCGCAAAAGCCCCGCCCCCCGCCCCGGGTCCGCCCGGCGGCGGCGTTGGCGGTGACGTCACTGCCGCCCTCTGCGGGGCGCGGGGGGGGGCGGCGGCGGCGGTGCTGAGGCGGCGGGCGGCGGAGTGAGTGGGGCGGGGGGGGCGGGGGGTGGGAGCGGCGCGGTCTCGCGGTCCGGCCGCCATTTTGGCAGCCCCTTCATACCCCCCCCGCCCCGGGCTCGGAGCTCCGGAAGGCCGCGGTAGGCCCGGGGTGGGACCGGGGCGGCCCCGCGGGGGGGGGGAGGGGGAGCGGGGAGCGCTTTGGGGCCGCAACGGCGAACGGGAACCGAGGGGTTGGGCGGCTCGGTTCGGTGCCCAAAGGAAACCCGGAGGGCGACCGTGAGCGCCGCCCGCCCCGCTGCGCCCTGCGGGGAGCCCCGCCGCTTTGTGCCCCGAAGGAAAGGCCGCGATGGGCCGCGGGGATCCGGGAACGGAACGGGCGGGTTAATGATCGCACAGCGCCGGTCAAAGTCCGCGCCGGACCGGAGCGATCCGCGGGGATCTGCCGTGACCCCAAAGTGGGGGTTTGGGAGCATTGGGGCCCACTGGGGCCGTTTGGGGGCATTGGTTCCCTTTGGAGGCATTGAGGCCCATTGGGGCACTGGGGCCGTTTGGAAGCATTTGCGCCCGCTGGGGCTTTGGGGGCATTGGGGCCCTATGGGGACTTTGGGGTCATTGGGGAGCTTTGGGGGTGCTGAGTCCCCTTTGGGGTCATTGGGGCTCATTCCCATTCTGGTGCCGCTTCTCCTTGGTGGCCCCACGGGTTCTTTGGCTCTGTGGTTCTGCGCCCCTTGGGGGGGTTTTCACCCCTCACCCCCCCGTCCTGCAGGATGTTCCAGACGCTGTGCAGTTATTTCTGGTGGGAGCGGCTCTGGCTGCCTGCAAACCTCACCTGGGCCGATTTGGAGGACCGCGATGGGCGCGTTTACGCCAAAGCCTCCGACCTCTACATCACCATCCCCATGGCCTTCCTCTTCCTCATCGTGCGGCACCTCTTTGAGACGTGAGTGACCACTGGGGGACCTCCACCCCCATCCCAAACCTCCACCCCCATCCCAAACCTCCACCCCACACCCCCGGCTCAGCCCCATCCCACTCTGGGAGCTGTCGCCCATAGGTGGGCATTCAGGCTGTGCCATTTCGGAGGTCTTCTCCAAGCTCTTGGTTCTGTGGCTCCGCACCCCTCAGGCTCAGCTCTGTGTCTCGGTGGGGGCTCGGGTTGGTGGTCCCATCCCTGGGGGTCTCTGCCCGCCCGCAGCCCCCACTGCGGCGCTGGGGATGCTGTGTCTCCCCCCCGCACACAGCTGTGGCTTTGTGCATCCCCCGCATCTGAGCTGCAGTTTGTTGGGCAAACAATGGGGCACAGCCTGAGGTTGGGAACAAACCGGGCTTTGTTGGGAACGGGGGAGAAGGAGCCGCTCTGCATCGCCATGCGGGGCCACGGCGCTGACACCCAACCTGGGGCCATTTGGAGGGAGGGGGGCAGCCCCATAGCGCCCACCCTGCGATCCTGGGTGCTTTGGGGGGCGTCAGCCCGCAGTCACGGGGCTGGGGGTCCGTCTGTCCACCTGCAGGTACGTGGCCACCCCACTGGCCGGGCTGCTGGGTGTGAAGGAACGCGTCCGGCTGAGAGCCGCCCCAAACGCGGTGCTGGAGAAGTTCTACGCCGCCACCTCCAAGCAGCCCAAACAGGTGAGGAGGGACCCCGAGGGGGTGGCGGGGAGGGGGGGCAACACGGCGCCGACGTCCCCGCCGTCCCCCCCCAGGCTGATGTGGAGATGCTGTCGAGGAAGAGCGGCTGCTCCGTGCGCCAGGTGGAGCGTTGGTTCCGCCGCCGCCGCAACCAGGACCGGCCCAGCCTGCTCAAGAAGTTCCGGGAGGCGAGGTGAGCGCGGCCTGGGTCCCATCCGGCTGCATTGGAGGTGGAGGCGCCCCGGGTGGTGCAGCCCCCCCCCCCCCCGGGAGGGTGCGATCCGGGAGCTGGGGGTCCGTCCTCGTCCCTCCCCCCCCAGCTGCGCCCCTGAGCACGGTCTGCTTCCTTTTTCCAGTTGGCGATTCACGTTTTACCTTCTTGCTTTCATTGCTGGCATGGCTGTCATAGTGGATGTGAGTAGTGCCCCCCACCGCCGTGCCTGGTGTCCCCCCGCCCCCCATTAATGCCTCTCTCTGTCTCTCTCCCCCCGTCCCACAGAAGCCGTGGTTCTACGACCTCCGGGAGGTGTGGAAGGGGTACCCCATCCAGGTGAGCCCCCCCGCCCCGTTCCCATCCTGTGGGGCTGCAGATCCCCACGCTTTTGGGGGGTCCCCTCCATGCCCAGGGTGGTTCCTCTGTCAATCGATCGATGCCTGCGGCGGGCGGGGGGGGGGACGATGGAATCCCTGAGCCCCCACCACGTCCTTGGCTTGCAGAGCATCCTGCCCTCCCAGTACTGGTACTACATGATCGAACTCTCCTTCTATTGGTCGCTGCTCTTCAGCATCGCTTCTGATGTCAAGCGCAAGGTGGGACCCCCTGACCCCCCCCCCACCCCTCCTTGGGGTTCCAGGTCACTTTTGGGGCACGGGGGGGGGTTGGGATGAGGGGGAGCAGCAGGAATGGGGGAGATTGGGGCCGGGGTGACCCCCCCCCCACCGCCCCTGTGCCGCACGCAGGACTTCAAGGAGCAAATCATCCACCACGTGGCCACCATCATCCTCATCAGCTTCTCCTGGTTTGCCAACTACGTCCGTGCCGGGACGCTCATCATGGCCCTGCACGACTCCTCTGATTACCTGCTGGAGGTACGG